TTTCTCTATAACTGTATGGAGTGTGTTAACAAAGGTGTGGCCTAGTGGTCAATGAAGTGAAGTGCGTCGAGCACCATGACGTCTCATTTATCGTAGCCTTGATGGACAGAGTTACATGGTAACTGATGCTGGTGAGAGGTGTCGGGTACCTCGTGTAATTAGTCGAGTGCCCACAAGCTGGCCCTGACACACTTTTCGTTTTCTATTTTTAGTTTAAATGTTGGAATTTTAGCTGCATTGTTATGAAGCCTGAAAAATCTATCTTCATTTAGTAGTTTGTTTCAAATCTCAACTAGAAATTTCCTAATTGCTATATTCTATATATAAACCGATGTCTTTACAGGTATGTAACTTTCTGCTTACTACTTGTACTTTTGGATCGTTTGGTTTGATTGTGGTAGTCAAAGGGGTGGGCTGAGAGATAGATAGTGGAAGAAGGTTGATTTAAAGGAAATTGTGTGTGAATACAAATTAGGAATGCCAGCAGACGGTGTAAGTGTGTGTGTTCTACTTAAAAGTTCAGCCTTTTACACGGCAATCACTTGCTTAAAACTATATCCAGCAAGTTTTATGTTTTTGTAACAGGAAGGTTGTGACAGTGAACCACACAGAATAGTTCATGTTTTAGTAGCGAATTTTCGTTGAAATTGGTCGTCCTTCACATTATCATGTCTATTTAGTTACAATTGTTATATTTCGCAGGAGAAAGAGTCGATCTGGTACCCCTCACCGCCGTCGGAGCCGTTCTCCAGCTACAAGGCGCAAAAGAAGTCGGTCCCCGACGACTAGGCGTCATAGGAGACGACGAAGTCACAGTTCCTCAGAGTCTCCTGTACCCAAGTCTCGAAGTCCTAGTCTTACATCCACTGAGCGTAAAAGTGCTGCTGAAAAATTGAAAAAAGAAGAAGAAGAAAAGAAAAGGTTTGTTAGATGTGATTGATACTGTTATGATGTTCCTTTGGCTCTAGTCTATGTCCTAAAGTTACTCCCAAGTACTCAACTATAGTGAGCTTCTGTAATTTGTTGCTTTCCGGAGGTTTGATCTAGTCTTTAAGTTAAAGAAGTCGAGAGTAAGTAAACTAAGCTAATATGCGTGTGTATATGTAGCTGTATCTTTTGATGTCGTCGTTTTTTGTGCTTATATATCATTGTAGAGTTATCTAGAGTGTACTTATACAAAATTAATGCTCATGTTAACATATTTATACATTGCTATACATACTTGATTTTTGATATGTTTTACTTGAGCCGAGGGTCTATTGGAAACAGCCTCTCTACTCAAGGTAGGGGTAAGGCTGTGTACACACTATCCTCCCCAGAACCCACTTGTAGGAATACACTTGGAATGTTAACATAATTTATCCAGAAGGTTTTAGTGTAGTATTCAACCACTGTAGACTCTTGGCATGTTAGGTTATTAAGAGAAGATTATTACTTGATTTTCTGTGGGTCTGAAACCCTCTGAAAAATGTGCTGTACATTTTTGTCTTACATCTTGATCATTGGTGATAATGTCTTGGCATTACAAGCCATTATGTTTCAAGATACATAGTGCAGCATGGCAGTTGCTTTAACGTACTTGTTTTTTCTATTCAAATGTGGAAGTGATTGAATAACTTTCAGGCTACAGCTAGAGGCAGAACTCAAGCAATTAGAAGAGGAAACTGCAAAGAGATTGGAGGAAGAAATAAGGAAAAGGGTCGAGGAAAAGTTAAGTTCAGAGGAAGTTAAGCTGGAAATAGAGAGGCGAATAGAAGAAGGACATAGAAAACTGTTTGAAGATGTTGAAATTCAACTTGAAAAAGAAAAGCAAGCTGCTCTTACGGAGGCGAGGCTGAAAGAAGTAAGTTTCTGTTGGGGTGGTTATTGACCCATTGTTGATATCTACTAATCATTATATTCTCCGCTTGTGTACTTCTTCTTTTTGTCATCGTATCTTGATGAGATCTTATATGAAAGATAACATGTTATTTAGGGCTAAAAGATAAGTATTTAATTCTTAGTTCGGATGAGGAAGGAAGCAGGGAAAGTTAAACTCTTCTTTGTTCTGCTTGTACTTTAGTAGCAGTATTTCTCTTGTAAGAGGTTAGGCATTGGCCCATGAACCTGATATACTCCACAAACTTTCCTGTCTACACTGAAAACTACTTGTTAGTTCACCTTTAGAGAGTGAGTCGGCTAGCTTTCCTTCATTTATGAATCTTATCTTTTAAGAATTCCAAAATAGTTTCTTGTCTTCCCATTTAATCGAGGTTAAAACTTTCATGTTCTTTGTCTAAATAGACAAATTTTTGAACTTTTCAATGGCATTATTTCTAACATAATAACACACTGGATTAAACAGGAAAAGGCACGAAAAGAGAGAGAGGAGCTGGACAAAATGCTTGAGGAGAATCGAAGGAGGGTACAAGAGGCTCAAAGGAGAGAGGCTCTTGAGGCGCAGCGAAAAGAGGAAGAGCGACTTCGGGAGTTAGAGCTCATTCAAAGACAAAAGGAGGAGGCTGCTCTAAGGAAAAAACTTGAGGAAGAAAATCTAATGAAACTATCGAGCAAAAATAAATCTAGGACCAACTCGATTGGTCTATAAAAGCACACTCTCTAGAGATTTTCTTGCTCAGATGTAATTGGATAAAGATATCCGGCATTATATGTCAAACATGGAGAATCGTAGAACCAAGATTGGCTGAATTTTGGAAGTTTACTCGACCAGAATGATATCACCATGGCTCAACTCAAAGTCTCCATTGCAGGTTTCTACAATTGCAAGAGTTTCTACATCTTCAATTCATGGTTAATGCTGTTAATCGCTGTATTTTGTAAACTTATAGGGGACAAACAAAACAATAACTGATTGGTGAAAGTTTGTTCATGACTTTTAAATTTAGTACATGTATTTGTTAGAACTGCTAGGGGATATTCAATAGGTGATAAAGAAAAATGTGAACTTTGATCTTATGGCATTATGCAAGATTCTGTTCTTGCTTGCCTCTTCTTGAAGTTCTCAGGCTGAGTAGCTCTTCTCCTGTATCACGTTTTATTTTTCTTTTTTGGTGTTGTGTATTGAGCCCTTTTTTTTAATGTCACTATCAGAGCGATGTCTCTGTGAACCATACAATGTTCGTTCTTCTATTGTTGGTTCTTGAAATTTCATCTGTTTATTCATTCAATTCACAGTCACAAGGGGCCGGAAGGACTTTAAAGTCTATTGGAAACCACTATAATAGCATGAAATGAAAGTTTCAAATGTAAAGTGTAAGTTACCAAATAATACAATAAAATTGTAAATGCAAGAGCTAAGACTTGATTTTTAGCTTTTTCTAGAAATTGGTTGGAATAGTATCCAATTATCCAAATCATGGTATATGCTTCTTAGAGGGGGGGAAATTACCAAAATTTAGATTCTTTTTCAGAAATTTGTTTGGCCATTTCAATCACATTGATGGCTTCAACTCAACCAAAATTTGTTAAGTCCATTTGTAAGTAAAGAATGCTAGTAATTACTTCAAATATTTTGACTTGATAAAGAAAAACAACAAACATTCAGAATAAATAACTTAAGTTGTGAGTTCGAGTTACGAATGGAGCAAAAAGGTGGGAGTTTCTACGGAGGGGTAAGAAAACAAAACAAAAAAGAAAACTTGAAACAACTCAGATAATAAAAAAGAAACAATATTTTATCCTTGAGTGTACAATAGTTGTAAAAATGTATCACTGAAAAAACTAAAAAGCAATGGTCTTTGTACATATGCTCAATAATCATACCTACTCAATATGTTGGCATAACTTTTTAATCTTTAGTTCAACAATGCTTGAAGAACAAAACAAGCAAACAACACCCCCCACCCCTCAACTCCATCTTCTTTTTTTTCAAATTTTATTATCATTAGTAAAAGAGTTAGTCCACCAACTTAATCTCTTCTAAGATCATCTCATCAATTGACAAAAAGGCAAAAAAGAAAGAAAGCAATAATACTCATTAGTTAAAATTTATGTGGCGGTATTTAATTAGATACATAGTTTAAAACTTTAAAATTTGTAATCTTACATATGATGACAATTCTCTGAAATAAAAACTTGTCATCATGGGGGAAAATATGAGAAATTGAAAGCTAAATTATTTTTTAATATAAGAAAATGCTATTATTTTTTAATAGATTAAAAATAATATTTTTATCATATAAAATGGAATATAGAGAACCTTTTGTTTTCTAGGTAGTAAGTTAAATAGTCTGATGTTAATTTCAATTACCTACTTAAGATGTGCCACCTAAATTGGCAACACAATATTTTAGAATGAAACATTAGCTAACATTATTTTTCCTATCCACCCATTAGAAGGACATTTTATTTTATTGTCACCAAATAAAAAAGTACATACTTTTTATTAAATGAGAAAACAAATTATTCTTCCATAATATATCCTAACTAATGTACTTAGGTCATAGTCTTACCCTATTTATATTTCTCTATCTTGCTAATGTTACCCTAGGTCTTCAGTCCAACTAAGGGCGGATATAGAGTGTTAATTATAGACTCGTCTGAATTATATATATACCTTAAATAAATACAAACAATTGATTTTGAATTCAGTAAATCAAATGAGTTGATTCGAACCTATAAAATTCAAATCTGGAATATATATGAATTTCCTTCAAAGGAAGGTTAAAAAACTTTCAAGAATTATTACTACACAGTATACTACCTATTATGATAGTGTAGAATAATGATAACTACATTGCTTGTTATATATATAAAAGTCCTTGTCTACATAAAATTCAAATAGAAATGAATTAAAAAAATATATATATATGACTCACTTCCCATTTTTTTCTTGTCATCTCCAACAACTATTTTAGTGGTGTAATTTTTAATTAAGTTGATATTTCACCTTCCTTTTGATGTTGAAATTGCTCTATCACTTCAATACCCAACTTTTTTTCTCCATTTTAATGTGCACCTATTTTATTTTATTTTTACTATATACTCCCTTTTGAGTGTTTGATACATATATATATATGTTACATATTCTTTAATCTTTATATTACCAAAAAAATATATGGCTTCATCAAAGTTTGCCTATTACATCCTATTTCTTTTTCTATCATCAATCTTATTTGCTTTGCAAGTGAGTTCAACATCTAGACATGTTGTCAACAACCATAAGGGGTTCAAGTTGAACTTAAAACATGTTGATTCAGGTGGGAATTTCACAAAATTTGAACGTTTACAACGCGCGATGGCACGAGGGAAATCAAGGTTACAAAGGTTAAGTCTAGTGGCTAATTTTGCAACTTTATCATCAAAAGATGAAACAAATGATGTAAAATCAACAATTCATGCAGGAAATGGTGAGTTTCTAATGCAAATATCAATTGGTAGTCCAAGTGAGTCTTATAATGCAATAATGGATACTGGTAGTGATTTAATTTGGACTCAATGTAAGCCTTGTAAAGAGTGTTTTGATCAATCTACACCAATTTTTGATCCATCAAAATCATCAACTTTCGAAAAAATTTCATGTTCTAATAAACTTTGTGAAGCATTGCCAACGTCATCTTGTGGTGATAATAATTGTGAGTATATGTATACATATGGTGATTATTCATCAAGTGAAGGTTTTTTGGCTAGTGAAACATTTACTTTTGGTAAAGTTTCAATACCAAATGTTGCATTTGGATGTGGAAATGACAATGAAGGTAGTGGATTTAGTCAAGGTGCGGGCCTAGTGGGCCTTGGACGAGGTTCACTATCACTAGTTTCTCAACTACACATGTCCAGATTCTCGTACTGTCTGACCTCGATTAACGAGGATGCTTATACCAAGAGTAGCACGCTTCTCATGGGATCGATGGCACATGATGATTATAACAATATTATTACAACCCCATTAGTGAAAAACCCAACACAACCGTCTTTTTATTATCTTTCATTAAAAGGAATATCTGTTGGGGATACTCAATTGGCCATCAAGAAATCTACATTTTCACTCAACAAAGATGGCACTGGAGGAATGATAATTGACTCTGGGACAACCATAACATACTTGGAAGAAAGTGCATTTAGTCTTCTCAAGAAAGAGTTTTCTTCACAGGTAATCATCTTAATTTCACGTATGATCACTGAACTATTTTTTGTCACATTATAAATATACAATAGTAAGAGAGAGAAAACTTTACTCACTATAACACTAAGGTCGCCTTATTAGAATAGGTTTTAATTGTTATAGTGAGTAAAATTTAGTGATTTCAATGCGACATTACATAAATTTAGGACTTTATATTATATTGTTCTGATGCATAGGATTCAACGACTATACTGTAACAGTGGATATATAAAACTCAATAACTTAATTTGTTGTAGTTGTTTTGTGACTTTACTAGTCTTTATATATATGGTTAGTGAGTATTCATACAACCAGTTGACCATACTAAACACTGTTGTTACAATGTATAAAGTTCATTGATCATACGTGAAATTAACGTGCAGGTAAACCTTCCGGTGGATGATTCAAGCTCAACAGGACTAGATCTTTGTTTCATATTGCCATCAAACACAAATAACATAGAAGTTCCAAAATTGATTTTTCATTTTGAAGGTGCAGACATGGATTTGCCTGCAGAAAATTATATGATTGCTGATTCAAGAATGGGAATTGCTTGTTTAGCTATGGGAAGTTCAAGTGGAATGTCAATATTTGGAAATGTTCAACAACAAAATATGATGGTCATTCATGATCTTGATAAAGAAACTTTATCATTTGTACCAACACAATGTGATAAACTCTAGAAGGATTGTGTGTGCGCTTTCAGAGGCGGAGTTAGAAGTTCAGATACGGATTCAGGTTCAATCGAACTCAATATAACTTCTAATGCTCAAACAATGTATTTGTGTTGAAAAATTCATTAATATGTGCACATATTAAAATCCTGATAACATTGAAATCCTAGCTCCGCCTATGTGCGCTTCAAATTGTTCGTTTATTTTTTCTCTTATTTTCTTTGCTTTTCTTTACAAATACCATATTAATAGAATCTTACAATATTTGAATGTATAAAATTTACTCCCAATTTATATAATTTGTTTAGGGCTATTTGTATTGTCCAAATAAACAATATTTAGTAATTTTAGTATAATAACACAAAAATTGAATGTCAAGTGCTACAAATTAAGATAAAGTGGATAGGAAAGTTATAAGAGTCAAAACAACTACAACAATAATTGCTTATATTATAATAAGTAGAGGAAAAAAATACTGAAAATAATGAAGCATGTAATTAATTAAATTACCTGCCTTGATCACCTAACTAATCATTTTACAAAGGCTTGTTCAACTGCCTAACCACTTTATGAATGCCTTAATTTCTCTATTTTATTAGTATTATATTATAACCTGTGTGATGCACGGATAATATTAAAATATATTAATCGCATCAAATTGTGATTTCACTAATTTTACATATTCTTGTTCAAAAACCTGATTTTGTTACTCATTGCAATATTTTTCTGTTTTTGTATTGTACTTTTGGATTTTATTTAATTTTGGGCCATTAGTGGGCCTAATAGGCTTTTCTAAGGCCCTTAGAAGTAATATTCACTCCTGTCCCAATTGGGCTTTTGATTGAGACTTAGGCCCTTAGAATGGGTCATTTGCACTTTTGTCCCTATTTTGTATTGGTCTTTAATTTTTCGCCTCAAGGCAAATAACTTTTTTGCGGAGATAATTTTATATTTTTGTATTAAAATATCTCCAAAGTTATGTCTTAATCCCTTAAATAACTTATGTCTTGCTAGGCATAAGTTCAATTGCTAAGGAAAAAAAATAAATAAAGACAAACTCATTGATACAACAAAAACTAAAGACCAAACATATTTGAAGGACAAGTGTATAAAAACTAGTCAAAGTTGATTGTGAGAAGAAAATACTATTTAAAAGGGGAATCTTAGTAGCTTGTGGCGTTCTAGTGCGTTGTAGTCCTGTAGATCGATTTTATTTTTCGCCTCGTAATCCTCTCCCTCATTTATCCTTCCCCTACTTCTACCCTCAATATTTTTTTTAATTTTTTTTTTTATAAAATGATTAATTATCCAAACGTGTGAAATCCCAACCTTCATAAGAGTATGCTTAAATTGTATTTTTAGTAAAAAAATCAATCACTAAAAGATATTATGATTCTATCTATAAGAAGAAAGTGACCCACAAACATCACTTGTGGGGTGAACATAAAAGAGTTGGCAAATGTTTATCACTTTTTCATAATAAAATGAAGTTGTAGAAAAAAGCCAAATCACAAATATTATGGCAAATGGATCATGTATTTTGGGCGGTCTAGTGATGTCAATCTCTTTATCTTGTTTTTGTACTTGTAGCTTGACACCTTGACTTAAAAGCAAGTCATGAAATTAGTGGGGTGGGCAAGGCCATGATTAATATTTAATATCATTCGGTATTCGAAATTTAGTGATTGAACTAAGTCAAAGAATTTGTGTAACGTATTAGGACCTTGTGAAGGAAGTGTGTTCTTATCAAGATTTTCTCTATTTTGTAAGTATGATTTAGAAACTTCTGATTTCTGAATAAGGATATAGAAATTTCATTCATCCCGACCTGCCTTTACATCAATCAATTTTCCATCACGGTCATTTTTTTTTGCAAGTTGTAAGGAGTCTTGATCTCAAGACAAGTTAAGGTGTCATTTCATTCTCGTTACGGGAATATGAGTGCATCAAAATTTACTAATCCGACAAATTTGAAGAAGTTCATGAGTTACGTGCGTAGGATCTTGAAATGAAGCATGTCCATATATACCATGATTTTTTCAATTCTTGAAGCACGAGTTAGAAACTTCTTATTACTGAATAAGGATATAGGAATCCCACTCACCCCAACATACCTTTTCATCAATCAATTTTCATCTCGACTGGTTTTAATGTGAGATGTAAGGAGTCTTAGTCTCGAATCAAGTTGGACGTCATTTCATTGTTGTTATATGTATGAATGCGTCAAAATTTTACTAGTCTGACAAAGTCAAAGAAGTTGAGTTATATAGGAATAAAGTGTATTAATATCAAGATATTTAAATAAAGATGTAGAGATCGATCTCATCCGTCCCGCCTGATGATAGTTGATATTCTTCTTGAGTGACATGTAGTTCCTTCCAAGTTAATTTCAATGATTTTCAAGTGCATGTACCTGTTATGATTGGGGAGATACGATTTGAAGAAATCTTTCCTAACCAAAAATTGCAAAAATAAAACTATCTTAAAATAAAGGTCGGTAGATATTGGAGATACTATATATTTCATTGAACAACTTTTAATTTTGTTAACTAAAGGAATTTTTTTTAAAAAAACCACACAACTGGTCAGTTAATAAGAGAAATAAAAACAAGTTTAAATTCTGAGTATGGAATAATGTTTGATAAGAGTGTTCAATTTACTTTTAAATCAAAATTTCTTAACGTAAATTGATCAGATTTATCAAATTGCTTATACAATATATCAAGTAAGAAATTGAGTATAAAAAATTGTACTATAAAGCTAGTGTGCCTAACTCAAAAACAAATGTATCAACATGATTTTGTACAATCAATACAATGCACAAAAAATAGAATAAATTCTAGAATGGTCAGTATTATGTTTATTTCTATAATAATAAAATAAATAAAAAGAACAATAAACATAAGGAAAATGCGTGGAATATAATTATACTATGCAGACCAGAATCGTATCAAAGGGGATCAATGATATAAATGTGGGACATAAAAATCTGCAATAACGATCGGATCAGTGCGACGGAATTAAAATTTTCATTACTTTATGTACATAATAAAAGAAATTAACTTTATTTATACGAAACAATTTTTCAAGGAAAGAAATTCGAATAAAAAAATCTCTTGTAAAAGGTAAAACTATTACTATGTAACATTTTAAATCGTACTTGCGGTACCATATATATAGTTTTTAATTTTAATAAACTAAATAAATACTGATTATACTCAATTTGACTTCTTTTTTTTTTTAAAAAAAAGGGTCATTTGTCAAATATTTTAAAACCCCACAATGCACTAATATATAGAATTTTATTTTATTTTTTATTTTATAAAAAGGAAAAGAGATCATCATTCTCAACACTGAATAGTTATCATCAATTCTATATATATGGTGGACCAAAGCATCTTATCAAGAGGCTCCTTTGATAGTGGAGAAAAAATAAAAATAAAGTGAAAGCATAAAATAAAATAATAAAAAGTACTTTGGGAAAAAAAATATTTGAAATTCCACTTTCAAGAATATCCCTACATAAATCTCTTAGTTGAAATGTTGTAATCTCACCAAAATTTATTGTTTTACAATAATAACTATGTCTTAGAGGCGGATTTAGAGGGGACATGTGAGAGTATTAATTCAGATTCTTTCAATAAAAAATTATACGATATATAGAGATTTTGAATTTTCTAAATACGATATTAAAGACTGACTATGTAGTTTACGAAGTTCAAAATTCAAGTACTATATTTTTATTTTTCAAACCTTCTTGATGAAAAATTCTGAATTCGTGTCACAAATCTTCATCTCAAATAATTTTGTGTTAGCTATATGAATTATCAATTATTTTTATTTAAGCTCAACGCATGTTATAGTGAATTAGTTTGTTTAAATGGGATTATAAAAGATAATTTTTATTAAAATTGAATCCAAATATTTAACACATATATGACATAGAATTTTCAAAAGCTCTTTCTTATTTTCTTCTTATTATTTCTAATATTGATCTTGAAATGTATCATTATCTTTGCTCCACTATAAAACTTGTGGAAGATAATGAAGGAATAAAACAAGAAACTAATAAACCCAAATGTATAAATACAAGAAGAAAGAGGGACCACTTTGAAAAAGAATAACCAACGAAAAGGGTATAAATTGCAAATACAGTTCAAGTAAATTTCGCATATCCGTATTTGTACGACCGGCACAAGTCCACTATGGCCTAATTCTTTTTATAACTTCTTGTATTTTAATTAAATTTACGAGATATTTATTATATTCAACTAATATAAATATCGAATAAGTCTGACCATCATAGTTTGAACACATAGAAAAATATCATCTGGTATTTTGCCTCTGAGGTTTCTTATGTCTTAGGATTTTAGATCAATTGGATTATATCTATTGTGTGTTAAGTTAATCAACTCTGGTTTGACCATAAATTTTGAAGTTAAAACTTAAAATTTTGAAATTTAAACTTATGTTTAGACATGTATTTTATTTAGAAAGAATTTAATTTTTTATAAATGTAATCCAGTGAAATTTCTCAAAAAAAATTTACTTGAATATTTAAAAATACTTTTAAATTAGATTTTTTAAAATTAAAAAATCTAATTAAATTTATGATCAAACAGATATCTCTGAAGATAAATAAGTCAAAACATAATCTAAAATATATAGTCAAACTCTTGATTAGAGCTTAAATATCATAGAGAGGAAGTTATATTCAAAGTTTTTACAAAGGAAATAAATCAATTAACATTATATTATGACAACATTTTCCCAAAAAAAAAAAGGAATAAGATTTAATACCATATATTCTCCACTTGACCACCCCACTAGTTCACTCACCCAACCAACACTCCATTCTCCACCATCTTATAATATAATTATTATTACCATCACTTTTGCTATAAAAATTTTCATTAAATATTGACATCAAAAGCAAAAAAGCACCACAACTTTTTCTTCCAAATTTCACAACCTTATATATACACACTCACATATTCACCACTTATTAGACCTCATCACTTGTTCACAACACACATATTCTCCCTCTCTTATCTTTTCTATTGCGATTAATTCTGCGATCAAACTTTTATTAATTTATATATTAATATCAAACGATAAAAATCATGAAGGTGAAGAAAGGATGGCTAGCAATTCAAGTAGGACTAGAAGAAGAAGATGGTGGTATTCAAAAATTTGTTATCCCAATTTCATATCTATATCATCCTCTTCTACAAAAGCTTCTTGATAAAGCTCATGATGTCTATGGCTACCATG